TTAAAGAAAATAATTTGTATTACTGGAAATAATACCAGGTATAATAGTTCGTTCCATAGGTATCAGAAAAGAATGTGATATTTTAAATTAAAAAAAATAAATTAGCAATGTACGATTATTATGTGCACTCACTATTACTATTAGGTATGTTAAAATAATTACCGAGATAAAACTTACCTTTAAAGGAAACGTTTTGTCTGGGTCTCAACCACAAAACAAAAATTACAAAAATTCCGAATAATCGTGGAATCTGAAATAATCAATAATGACAATAATCTTCTCTTCTGACAAGCTAAAAGAACAGGCACATTCAGTTAAAAACAATTCATTACTCCGATTTGCTCCGTTTATCAACAGATTTTCGTTATCTTCTTCTAAAGCTAAGAAATAGAAAAAGCTACTGACAATCTAATTAATCCTGTCAAATGTTTAACTTGCAAAGTTAAAAACTTCCTCTTTTGACCGCCTAAACGCTATGCGCGTCTGGGATGCGCGGTGACAAAATAAACTTGTCTACGAAATGCCCTATTCCACAAGCCCTCTCACTTTAGTTATTAGTTTCACTCTGGCACTATACTAAATGTCAAAATGTATTTTTCAAGCCTACTTATAGAATTGTTTTATTTAGACACTGCCCCTTATATGGCCTCTAATCAAATCTTTCAGTTTCAATTTAACACGTATTTAAAAATCTGTCAACAGAAGATAAAAGATACGTTTCAACGGACACTGATAATAATATCAAGAATAATAATACATAGATGGTATAATAACTTAATCAATACTTAAAACTACTTAAATCTATATCAGTTGTATTTTCGTAGCATAGAATAAATAAGATTTATATTATTTTATGTACCAATTACAGGTGGCAGTATAGAAACATAAATGATCTTATTCAATATGGATTTTATCAGTGAAGAGATATATTTTTGATTGTGTTGATAGGTGTGTATGTATATGTTCATTTAAAATATCAAATGTGCGATATGTTATTCAGGCTTGATAAATACAAAGAGAATTCAATTTATGTTATTATGTTACCACCTTTCTCTAAGATTATATACAAGAAAATATATATCTATTGATAAAATTAGTAACAATATAAGAGAGCGTATAATTTCTATGTAAGAGTATATCTGAGCGTGAGTCTATACGATATTAACTTTATATTTTATATATTTAGACAACCTATATAGTTATATAACTATGCTCAATCTTTAGACATTAGATCCAATGTTCTTGCTACATATTTTATGTGATTTTAGCTATCCAAAATTCACCAAATTATAACACTTGCTATAAAAATATTAAAAGCTTCATTAAAATAATTATTGTTATTAATATATAAAAAAAACTCGTGGGTATCTAGAGAGCCGGCTACACGTACAAGCTTTACCACGAGCTTACCTGCGCAAACCTGTTTGTATCGGGAACTCGCTGTGTGTAGACGGTAAAACGGTAGTACGCACAAACCAACAAGCGCGACCTGCGTAAACGTCGCGCTGCTAAAGATTTTAGTTTGCGCAAACCAGTTTGTGCGGTGATCGACAGGTACAGTTTTGTGGGTGTGTTTTGTGCTATTAGTTATCAACTTTTAGAAAATGTTTGATATTCGTACTTATTTCAATAAGGAGTTTATGATGAGTTTTATTGAAATATATTAATCGCTGCCATGTCTATGGAAGATAAAATTGAAAGATTATTCCGATAGAAACAGAAAAAATGATGCGTACAAGAAAATGGTTTTCTATTTAAGTCAGTTTTTACTCCACTTCGATCTATACCGTTTATTTTGCTGTTTTTTCTTTGACAATAAGCAATAAAAAACAGTAATTCGTCACTTGACATTTCCACGAAGGGAACCACAAATTCAGAATAAAAATTATGATGAATGTACGCTCTTACTTGCATCGTGTGGACACCGCACAGTGTTCCTTCTAGTTTGCGCAAACTATACCGTGCAGGCAAGTCGCTGTCATGTAGCCGCCGCTTAGAAGGATCAAATGAAATAATTATACACTCAGATGCAAAAAAAAACGCAACGGAGAAATTTTTGGTGAAATTTAAAGTGTTATATTTTTGTTATTTTTAGCCCTATTTTCATGATTTTTTTAACAAACTGTATATAATTATATCAACTTTAATTCGTAAACTAAGTTTTTTATAAACTTTAGTATTTGGCATATTATACAGGGTTAATCGAGGGTTTTTTTCCCTAACTTTAAAACACCCTGTGCAATTTCGGGTGTAAATTTTCCTGAAATATAATTTTACAGTCAGAACCATGTCTCCTGAGCATTTTGTTTTTTTTTGGATCATGTCGAAACATGCTTTGGTTAATTTCTAAGTGCGAAATGAACTTGCCATCATCAATTTGCAATTTTTTTAATTATCATTTCTTTTTGAAGTTATTTTTCAATATGATAAGCCGGCTTTGGTGATTATTGTGAACTATATACTACCATCAACTGCCCATCATGTTTGACGTTTGGGAAATGCTTGGTAGGAGGGTTTGGTTTGGTTTGGCTCATGTGTTTATCTCTGAGCTGAGCGCGCTCGGATGCTCACTTGGCTCATCTCAGTGGGGCCTCGACGAGAGCCCCCACTTGTCGGTTTTTTAGCAATGCTCAAAGGCGAGCGTCCTCAGTAGGCCCGCGATCGACGCTCGAGTGTGGACGTACTCAGACGACGCACAAATAGAAACGGTATTGTTTTTGCTAATTTCTAAGTTGTCTATCAATTTGTAGCCATGTGGACTAATGAAAAGTGTGTGAAGCTGATTTATGAAAGTTACTGTTTATATGAAAGTAAAAGAGTTTTGTGGGATGCAAAATATGAATAATTTTAACAAACAAAAAAAGGCGGATGCTTGGCGCAGTATTTCAATAAGTATGGAAATAGACGTGAAAGAAATTAAGAAAAAGATGACAAATTTGCTGGGATCACTCATGAGATCATGTTTATTTCTCTTCGTCTTTTTAACTTTTGTTTGTGTTAAGGCCTGAATTAATATGAAACCAGGCGCGAGAGTACACATGTTTTGTGGCGATGCCATGCCTACAAGTTCTCAACATCGACTGAAAACAAAAACGGCTCGCCTTCCTGAGCCATGATCCGCTCGTTCAAACACAGAAATTTCACTCGCTACAGCGAGCACACTCACACACGCGAGCGGTTCATGCGGCTGAGCGTGCTCTAGTCAGTACATGCCTTTAAGAAAGAATGGGAAAGCATAATGCAATATGGTATATGTAGCCTCAATGACAGTACGAACGGACGTATACAGGCAGTTATAACAGCCTAGGGAAGCATCGCGAAGTATTAGGGTATATTTGACATTTTTTTTCTGTTTGTATACTTGAGTATTACAGATGTTTTCTTTAATATTGTTAGTTCTGTTATCGTTATTAATGTTTATTAAAACCAGGACTGTATCGTTAGTCTTTAATGTTTCTTTTTTAATTTAGTTTAGAGTATCCAATGCAGCGTAATATGACGTTACGACAATAATCATGAAAACCATCTCGTCATATTAAAAAATGAGATCAAAAGTAATGATAATTGAAAAAATTGCAAATTGATCGGGGTCAGTTCATTTCGCTCTTAAAAATTAACCAAAGTATGTTTTGACATGAATCAAAAAACCAAATACTCAGGAGTCGTGGTTCTGACCGTAAAATTATATTTTAGGAAAAGTTACACACGGAATTATTTTACAGGGTGTTTTAAAGTTAGGATAAAAAAACAACCCCTAGATTAACCCTGTATAATATGTCAAATGTTGAAGTTTATAAAAAACTTAGTTTACAAATTAAAGTTGATATAATTATATACAGTTTGCTAAAAAAATCATGAAAATAGGGTTAAAAATAACAAAAATATAAAACCTTAAATTTGACCAAAATTTTCTGTGTTGCGTTTATTTTGCATCTGAGTGTATTTGTGTGAGTTATAAGATTCGCGAGTTATAAGTCCGCGACGCTCCGCTCCATCTGAAAGCGCTGTTAGTATTCCAATTACCTAGAAAAACAAATACGAATGGAACAAATAAACTTACCGACCGACCGTCGTGTTTTTTCAAGATAGCCGTCGGGCGAACTCCGTCGGACGGAGCATACGCACCCATGTGAAATTGTTCATAAACTCATGGTACTTGCTCGAAGGCGCGGACGCTCCGTCGCGGACGGTCCGCTCCATCTGAAAACGCTTTTAGGGTTTTTTTTGTACGATCTACAAGGTGAGTCAATGATAAAGTCCATTATCTCATTTGTTTCGAGGTTTACAAAAAAATGTTAATTATAAAAGTTATAGGGAAGGTCAAGTTACACATTTTAAAATCATTATAGAATATACACAATGCTTCAAAAAAGTGTGGCGGATATAACATATGTTTTTTTTTAAATGCAATACCCTATTTTTCATTTTATTTTTAGATTCTGCGTAAAATGCTATAACTTTTTTATATGTAATGTTATATACCACTGAAATTTTGTAATATTTCAATTTGTTTAAACAAATGTTAGATTTTAGTGTGGTAAAAAATTGTCAGTGGTGCCATTGTTTCTGAAGTTGGACTATTAAAATTTGGTAGGAGTGTTTTATAGAGATGAAGAAAAATATACATAAAAGATATTTTACTTTGATGCTACAGGGTGTTTAAAATATATGTATACTTTAAACGAAATGTCGTTTATCTGTTCTACGATTGATTGGTTTAATTTTTATTTCTAGGTAGAAAAAAAAACTTTGATACATCAAAGGTTTAAATCCAAATTTCTTTAGAAGAAATAAAAATATTTTGTTGCTTCTGGTAGCAAAACTACACAACATTTATAGCAACGAACTTGGACCAGATAAACGGGAATATTTTTATATGTACTACTATTGGTTGAAAGTTAAATACTATTATTCCTATATAAAAAGACTTATAATATGTATTAAATACTGGACCTGTTGGTAGAAACGACCCGCATTTCTAACGCAACGATAAAAAGAGATAATAGATAAATATGTATTCGAAATGGATATACATTAGATACTAATTTAAGATCTCCGCGGTTCCAATTTCTGGGACATGCCCGTTAAAATTCGCTGGTTGTCGATGACCCTCAAGCAGGAAATGTACGATTTCACTTCGCCTTCGCTTTTGGGTGACGGTGGATCCAAAACTGAAACAAAAATAACGTAGGTAATAGTAGGGTCAATATGTAAACGGTTGCTGGTTTTACAGGCGGGGGGCAAACGCCCCCGCGTACCTAGCCTAACCTAAGCTAACCGCCCCTCATCCTTCAAAAACAATTATCAAACAAACCGAAAACTGAAATTACATTTAGGCACACAATCCTTTTTTCAGCAATAATTAGGCTGATATTAAACTACATTATTCTCTACAGGTATAATAATAATAATTATTGTACGGGTTAATTTGGGATTTGGTTTAGTTGTAAATATGTTTAGGCGACACAACACACAGCGATTATCATGTTTTCACGGCGTTTTTGATTAAAATCATATCGGTAGACTTTTTCCATAAGCACATGATCGAGCAAAAGAGGTAGATTTGGACAGCTTCGTAAACAAGTACCTTTTGTTAAGGTCGAGGAAAAAGGAATAGACTTTCTATTACACCATAGAGTACTCCATAAATATTTGAAATTTCTTGTTCACATTTGTGTTTTAGTTTTTATAGTAGTTAAATGTTGAGTTGTTTTTTTTTTTCTAAAAAAACTTTGATTAATTAGAAGCATAAATGTTTGTTTTCTAAAAAATGTCAATACCTATGTGGCAGATTCATCTCTCCAAAAAAATCCTTTATGGGTATTTCGCCACTGGACTGCAAAAAAATCTACAAAATAAAATAGTTATTTTTTGTAAACACTTCTGCGTTAAACCTAAACGGGCGCTGCTTGTCAGAAGTTATGTTTACAGTAATACAAATTTGCCTACAAAAAAAAAATGCTTAACGTTTCGGAAAGTTATCTGTTTCCGTCGTCGGAAGCAAAAAAAAAATCAAAATAAACAGAATAAATTTTAATAACGCCAAAATTATAATGAAAGAAGCGATAGCCTCTAAAAGAAAAATAAAAGAGGCTTTTTTAATTCAATCTAATAAAAAAAATGTATTGCTCATGCATCTGTAGATGTTAGTAATATATGGCAATCGCTTATTTGATTTTAAAGAACAATAGATACAACAAGATAAATAAATATAACATACGTAAAATTTGAAAATAATCATACAGAAAGTTTGGGGCTTTTTGGTTTTACCTTATTAAGTAATTGTTATCAGGTAGTAATTGTTAATTTTGAAGTTTAAATATCAAGTTAAAAATGTCATTATAACAGAACGCCAACGGTTTCTTGTAGACGTATCTGTTTTAAAAAAAGTAAAGTGTTCTCGAATAGTTGAAGTTAATTATTTTAAAAAGTGTTTTTCTTTATTCTTTGTATTTTTTTGCTTCCGACGAGGGAAGAGATAACTTTCCGAAACGTTAAGCATTTTTTTTTTCTTTGTTAGGCAAATTTGTATTACTGTAAACATAACTTATGACAAGCAGCGTCCATTTAGGTTTAACGCAGAAGTGTTTACAAAAAAAATAATTATTTTATTTTGTAGATTTTCTTGCAGTGCAGTGGCGAAATACCCATAAAGGATTTTTTTGGAAATATCAGTAGTAGAATAAATAATAAATAACATAAAATAAGCTCAGTAAAGACTGACGAATTTACAAAATTTCAAATCAAAATCAAATGTGTCAAATGAATCGTCAAACAGAACTGTCAAGGTTTGTCCTTCTAACGTTCATGAATACATGGCTAGCATTATAGTCCCTCCTTAATCTTTTTATTCAAAGTACCTAAATAATTTAACTTATATAATAAAAATAATATATACGTCTGTTTTCGGCTTCATTCAATTCAATTTGATACACCATAGTTGCTTATTTACAAGTTCAGGCCTTAGAGTTTTCATCACCCTGTATCTTCCTGCCGCTATATATTGCTCTGGGATTTATTCAAAAGGTAAACAGGTCTCTCAATATACATTTGATTGACTATTGTTCCTTCAGTATAATTCAAAATAGTCTGGAGACTGACAATAGCTCTACTACAATATTCCCAATATACACATGTTCAGTGTATTTGTATTAATCCATACTTTTGTATTAATCTATACAACCCTCAACTGTAATCCATACTATTTAGAAAATTATACTTTCTTACTGTTTATATTAATAGATTTTACTGAAATATAAGATTACCTAGAAGCTTAGACTGCTCTAGAACCTAATTATATTAAAGACCCTACTTATATTAATATTTTAATGTCAAAATATGACTATAAGAGAATACAAGTATCGTTGAAGTTTTGAGAAAGTAATTTGTTTAGATATAAAGTGTTTTAAGCACTTCGTAATTTAATAAAAATCATTTATGTGGTAAGTCTGAACTAAAATTTTATGAAATATGTATATAGAGCTTGTTGGATACTACGGTAATCCACTTAGATTGGAAAACCTGGAGAACAATTAATAGGATTAGGATCGGCCGGCATCGCTCCAGTAAAAACCAACCTAGTGTAAATGCAGCGAAGAACAGACCATAGATTATGTTAGGTACCAGATGCAGAAACTGTCCGTATACTTATATAGTTCTCAAGACTTATGGTTTGGAAATGAAATCCGCAATTAACGTAGCCTAGCATTGGACAGAAATTAGTTTAATATATTATTTTAAACCAGGAAGTAGTAATACAAAACACAGTCAATTGATTACCAGAGGAAATATTAGTAATAGCGATCTATATAACACATTATCGATACAATCTAAATAAAAAAACTTACCTAAATGTCTACTTCTACAAAATCTAATGGTCCTCATCGTTTGAGCAAGCATGTGCATTTTTTCGAAGTTCACCAGTCCATCTAGCGACGTTTTGTTCCCTTCGTGTGTAAACGTCATATCTTTCAACAGCAAAGGCATGAAAGGTACCACAGGAGGTTGTAGTTTACCTACGCTCACCCTGTATGCCCTATGGTTTCTGCTCGGATCTAGTATGATAAAATAGCTATTTATGTAACTAGTACCTAAAATGATGTTTTTTAGGACGAATCATTACTGTTTGCGGACGAGGCGTTAGCCGAGTCCGAAATAGTAGATGAGTCCTAAAAAACATAATTTAGGTACGTGTTACATACACTATTTTTTGTCATACGCTTTTTACAGTTTTTTAGAACGCATATTTGCAAATTTTCCATATTTGAAATTATAATGTTTGAAAAAGTTGGCTTATAAATTCATATCTTAGTAACGAGTTTGTTTATTTCATCGCATTTTGACATGTCATTCGAAATTTGTCACAAAATCACACAAATTCATCAACAATTTTAAAATGTTCCAAAATCCCGAACATATTGCTAATAAGGCCAAAGAAATCGTGTTGGATTTACTTCCTGTGAAGTCTCGTGCCATTTACCAGAAAGAATATGATGTTTTTAATGAATGGAAAGACAAAAATGGCGTATTCGTTGTAAATGAAGATGTATTGCTAAATTATTTCCACGAAAAAGTAAGTACCTAGGTACCTATTTAAAGAGGCTTTTAAATTAAAATATTCTTAAATTACAGTCACAAACATTCAAACCATCGTCAATTTGGTCGAAATATTCCATGCTGAGAGCAGTGTTAAGTGTTAAAGAAGATATTTATATTGACAAATTTCCAAAACTTATTGCTTTTTTGAAGAGGAATTCGGTTGGTTACGAGCCTAAAAAGTCTAAGGTTTTGTCCATAAAAGAGATCGGTGATTTTTTGGCCACGGCTAGTGATGAAACTTATTTACTTACTAAGGTAAGTTTGCGATAATGATTTTAAAAATATATAGATGGTTTCTTATTCCATTGTATTTGATTTTAGGTAGCTCTTGTCATTGGCCTTTGTGGAGCATGTAGAAGAGAAGAATTGTACTCTCTACGAGTGAAGACATCATAGAAAAAGACAACAGCTGCCTTTTAGTTACCCTTGCGGATACAAAAACTAATATCAAAAGAGTGTTTCCGGTGGTGAACGAAGGGAACGTTGTCAATCCAGTTGAGTTGTATAGAAAATATGCTTGTCTTAGGCCAAAAAATGTACCACATGATTATGTCTTCATCTCTTATCGTAAAGGAAAATGCACCGTGCAACGAGTCGGCATTCATTCATTTGGGAAGATGCCATCGATTGTAGCAGCATTTTTAAAGTTGTCGAACCCAAACGAATATACAGGTCATTGTTTCCGACGTAGTTCTGCTACTCTTGCTGCAGATGCAGATGTGGATTTTACATCGCTGAAACGCCTAGGAGGTTGGAGGTAAAAATTTTAATATTTTCCGATCTTGTTCTAAACAACAATAATTATTTAGGTCGTCCACAGTGGCCGAAGGTTACATAGAAGAATCTATTGAGAAAAAGAAGAAAGTTTGCAAACTGCTAATGGGGGAAAAGAAAATCGCGACCACTTCCACGGATGTATTACCAAGTACATCATCGTTCGCATTTACTCCACCTCATCAGAAAGTAAATTTACCTGCCAATGGAGGAGTCGTTTCGATTGCAGATGCAAGTTTTCAAAATGCACAAAATTGTTCATTTCATTTTTATTTTTCCAAATAACTTAGCTTTTGATATTGTTAGTATTTAATAATTTAAAATCAAATACAATGGAATAAGAAACCATCTATATATTTTAAAAATCATTATCGCAAACTTACCTTAGTAAGTAAATAAGTTTCATCACTAGCCGTGGCCAAAAAAATCACCGATCTCTTTTATGGACAAAACCTTAGACTTTTAGGCTCGTAACCAACCGAATTCCTCTTCAAAAAAGCAATAAGTTTTGGAAATTTGTCAATATAAATATCTTCTTTAACACTTAACACTGCTCTCAGCATGGAATATTTCGACCAAATTGACGATGGTTTGAATGTTTGTGACTGTAATTTAAGAATATTTTAATTTAAAAGCCTCTTTTAAATAGGTACCTAGGTACTTACTTTAAACAAATAACTTAGCTTTTGATATTGTTAGTATTTAATAATTTAATTATAAATATATGTATAATTTTATGTGATTTTGTGACAAATTTCGAATGACAAAATAAAACAACCAAATAACGAATTTAGACATTTTAGTCCATAAAGGTTGCCATGACGACCTTTACGGCCTAGGCCGAAAAAGAAACATTTTACGGACTGAAATGAGTCCGTAAAATAGCTGTTTTTGGGAGCGTATGACAAAAATAAAATTATAACAAAGTATATAATGATATTACTTGTTTATGCTTTTATTATTCACAATTAATTTAACTAACTGTATTGTCAGTCAAAATAGTATATTGTTTTGTTAGGAGTAAAAATGACCTTTTTGTAGCGAGGCTGTATGATTGACATACAGGCGAGGCACAAAAAGTAATTTTTACTCCGAATAGAACAATTTATTTTATTTTTTCAAACCCAACAAATAATTTTTTAAACAATTTCAAGCGCCCCGTAATATAAAAATATTTAAAATTAATACCTTGTATGTAATTATATATCGAGAAACTATGGTTACGCTCGTTGAATTTGGCCGTTTTTATGTGAGTTTAATAATTTAGATTGGAAACCCGTCAAAATTTTAGGTCGCGAAATTGTTTTGGGTCGCGACCCTTGTACGCGATCTGGCGCTGCTATAGCGGTTGCTAAGAACAACAGCAAACAAAAACAGAAATAATTTTCTCTTGTCAAAGTCAGAATCTTCAAAAATCACTAAACATCCCTCTTTAGAACTTTTTCTCTAATGACCATAAGCCGGAGTAAAAGACCAACCGCCCGAACAAATACTAGAGGCGCCACCGGTCATCAAATGGTGTAAAAATTGCGAAAATTTAATCATCTAATTTTGACACAAGGGGTCACCCTTAACTTCTTTAATTTTAATTAAATATTCATTGTTTTCAAACTATATTATTAGACTTTGTTGTATTTTGTGAATGTATAAATGTTTTCTTAGTATAAAGTTGCATTATATTCATTTAAATTATATTACATACATATTTAAAATTAAAATATTGATAACAAAAAGTTAGTTATTGTCAGAAATAGTTAAAATCATGTAAAAATATTAAAATTTACAAGTTATAATTAGATATTTTATATTATTTTAAAAGCAAAAACATAATGGTACCACCGTGTAATGCATCACCGTGTAATGTTGATATGCAGGTCCAAAACAAAAAGTGCCGTTATATTTTTTAGTTTTCGTTGTCACCCGCAGAAGTTTCAGTGATTTTAGTGTTGTCGGATATTTTTATTTGTGAAATAGAAAAATTGCGTTTGGATCGCAAAACTAAAAGTGGAAGTTTTATTACAATGTAAGTAAGCGTTTGTCCATTTTATATTTTACTTTTTCATACCTACGACAAATATACATATATTGAAATTTTATAATTCGTTTAATTTAAAAAATGTTAGAAAACAAGCTTGTAATCCTGTAATTGACATAATTGTTATGTAATATATTCCATTTAAATGCAATATACTTATTACTTTACATTTAAAAAAATATATAAATTTAAAAAATATATTAAAAATATATACAGGCATTAATTGAAATTTTTAATATGCGAACAAACAAGAGAGGCGCTTTATTATTTATTTTCATTTCTTAACATGACAGACGAAGTTCTAAAGGGGAATGTTTTTTTGTCAAAAATGATAAAATCTTTCAAAATCTAAACCGTTTTCAGTGAAAAAATTCCAAAAACTGTTTAAAGCGTCCAATTATTGCTATCTTGTGAGTTTAATTTAAGTTTTATTTACTCAAACCCGTGATAATTGTGAAAACGTGGTATTACAAACTTAAAAAGTTGTGCTGTGAACTGTGAACTGCAAAAACCATCGTGGATCGTTGCATAATGTTGGTTTCCAATGTTTCATAGGTATTTCATACAGGTCCTTATATAAAATAAAGTTTCTTATATACAACACACTGTAGTTTATTTATAAAATTAAAAGAAAATTATAATAAATTTGAATAAACAATATTTGGCGATATAATTCCGGAAAAAGCCGAACCGCTCCGAAATTTTCAAAAGTTTTGGGTCGTGACAGTTGCAAGAATAGCGCCAAATAATGTTTACATTGTCCTTATGGGCACTTTCCAATCTATATCTATGAATAATATATTTTCGTACTTTTGTGCTTAGGCGTAAAAGTGATTCACTTTTATACCTAGACGTTAAAATGACTTTTTTATATTGTCAATCACGTCGCAAAAACTATTAGTACGTCGGAAAAACAAGTATTTTAAGACGTCTGGCTCTTTGATATATCTTTTACTATGCTCTCTAGAACAGTATGCGGCTCGTCTGGCTGCCGGTAAACGTTGCGTTCCCTGAGAACTGCGCATTGAAAGAATATCCCATATTTTTATTAGTCCTTTAAATTGTAGTATTGAATGTAAATCGAACATGTCTCCATAGCGCAGTGCGTAGAGTTTCCGACCACGTACCCATGATTCAGAGTTCGAATCCCGGTCAGAGCAAAGACTTTTTTATTTTATTTTTGTTTATATTCTGATAGTAAAGTATTAAATATTGTTTTTTTTTAATTACGAGAATTATTTAATACTTTACTATCAGAATATAAACGGAAATAAAATAAAAAGTCTTTATCCTGACCCGGATTCGAACTCTGAATCATCGGTTCGTGGTCGGATACTTTACGCACTGCGCTATGGAGACATGTTCGATTTATATTCAATACTAGAATTTATAGGACTAAATTAATAAAAAATATAGGATCTTCTTCCGATGAGCAGTAGTGAACGCAACGGGTATCGGCAGCCAGACAGGCCGCATGCTGTTCCAGAGAGCATAGTAAAAGATATATCAAAGAGCCAGACGTCTTAAAATACTTTCTCGAAAACGTTGCTAGCTCTTAGACTATACAAACATAATACAAATTGCAATGCCCATAACTTTACTAGTGTATTATTATGAAACACTAATATAATTTTTAGGTTTTTTATACACACGTTAGATGAGATTGCATTCTTTATACCACTGAAGCAATTTTAAAACTAGAAGTATTTTCTTTTCTGTTACCTATCATCGATTCGAATTCCGTATACAATTTCCTAAACTTAGATGGGAGTTTGTCCCAAGTGTTCGACAGTCTGGACACAGCTACGTTACTTAAGCCCATCACAATGGCACAGAAGGCATTCAAGTTTTGGTATTCCCTGCAACTGCAAAGAAATAAATCACATCAGTTACATTTTTCACTTCTTCTGAAATATACAGGGTGGCGCCTCTCATACGCCGCGGAAGCTCCAAGGAGAACGGTCGTTTATATCGGAATGAAATTTCGGCAGCATATGTAGGTTAACTGAAAGCATTTTATAAAATTATATAGAATTATACAGGGTCTCCCCAAAAAAAGTTACACATCAAAGTGGTGTTGTTTCTAATGGAACACCCTATATATTAATTGATTTTCGGATTCTAGGAAAAAAATAAAGGTGAGTTTTATTAAAGAAGCGTATATCTAAAATCTAAGGATTTTGACATATTTCACATTTTATGAAAATGAAGAGTAAATTTTAAATTTCGATAACAGCTACCTAAATTTTAGTTGACCTTGTATAGCCTGATATTTAATTACAGTAATCATTGTATGCTAAACCATATTGAAATTTGACTCGAAAAGTTATACAGACAAGGTTAATATGGAACATTAGTCACTTTAAAAAGCAAGTTACTCCTTTATTTTAAATGAAACACCCAGTATATTTTTCCGGTGTTCAACGTGGAATTTTTATATCTTCAAAATATTATTGCCTACCCTCAGACAATGCCTACCCCTCAGACAATGATTTTCCTAGATATTATAATTTTTATTATTTTGCGTCAGTAGATCTTTTTTATTTAAAAAAATCTAGAGGGTGGCTGTGTGATATACCTTTTGTTGATTTAACAAAATTTCAAGATTGTAGAGTAAAATACTCAACGGTAATAAAAAGATACACGTTTAAAACATGTTTTAGTTATTACAGAATTAAAACTAGATATAAACCATAATTACAAAAAATAACTAAATGCTCAAAATGCTTCCTTTTCTGTTAACTGCATAAACTGCATGATTGTGTTTTCAAAAGGATCTTTTCATTTTAAAAGGTATTTGTTCTTCGAAAAGCAGCTACAATAATTTCTCTCATGTTGTCGACAATTAATAGTTGGTCGAGTTTTGTAAACACTGTCTTTAACATATCCCCATAAAAGAAACCCAGTCTAGATAAATCAGGAGCATTTAAGTACTCTATTAATTGGTGAATGCACACTGCATTCACCAACTAATGCATTCACCAACTAATAGAATCATATGAATTCTCTCTGATGTTGGATAAGTTCAAGGACTGTATATATTCTATAGGACTGTTCGATCGCGTCAAATCGCCGCTGTCGTAGTCGCCGTCGAATGCTACGTCACGCGCTGACCAGCGCTCCACAGTGCGGCGGATGGTTATTCTAGCGGGACAAAATCTCAAGAGCTATGTTTGGGACTTAAAATCTAAGAACGTAGCAAATGGTCTAATATATAGCAACTATATGGTTAAATTTATTTATTTATTGACAACTTAATTTATTAATAAATAAATGCAAGATAATAAAACTATGATATTATTCGTACATGACACACAAAAACCGTACTGTAAACTATTGCCAAATACATAAAATTATATCAAAAAACTCTTTAGCAGTTTTTTTTAATTAATTTGTAATCTTGTGACACCCTCTATAATTTATTTTAAAAAAATATATTTTATTTTGAAAATAATAAATAAGATAGATATTTTAATTTTAATTTTAACACTCGGTAATTGTAAATTCATATATAGTAAGTATCTAAGACAATTTTTTAAACTCAGTGTCTTTTGATGGATCAGTGCCTTTTGATGCCGTCCGTCAAATGCAAAAATAACTGTCACTGTCTAAAATCTTTAGCGCCAACTTCAACTCGGTCAGTAGATGACGTAAAAAAACTGACAGTGCAGGAAGATAGGAATCGAACTATCCTTATCTCTATATTAGTATCCTTGGGATAAATTTGCATTTTCGAAACATTTCTGAGACATTGTCTTGTGTTTAACTGACACAAAATGATAACTAGTTGTTAAAGTTGGACTAATTAGACGGCTATATTGAAGTAACATCAAACATACCACAGCAACCTAGGTTTTATCAAATAATAAAGATATACATAGATCAGATTATGTAAATGAAAATATCTAGGAAAATCTTGGTTTGAGGGGTAGGCAACCTTAATAGTATTTTGAAGAGGCATGAATTCTCCATTGAACATCGGAATAATATACAGGGTGTTTCATTTAAAATAAAAGAGTAACATGCTTTTAAAGGTGACCAATGTTCAATATTAGTTTTGTCTCACCCTGTATAACTTTTTAATTTCATTTTTTTTAAATCAAGTTTTAATTTGATTTAAAGTACAATAGTTAATTTAACTACATATTAGGCAATACCTGGTAAATTCCAATTTAGGTAACTTATTGTAATTTAAAAATTGTTCTTTATTTCTAGAAAATGTTAAGTATGTCAAAAACCTTACATTCTAAAAACCTTACTCTTCTCTTATAATACTTCTCTTATGGCGTATGAGAGGCGTCACCCTGTATGTGTATGAGACGATTTTTATTATATCAGTGTAGATCCGTTAATGTAACACTGCCAATTCAAAATAATGTTTATGTGAATAAATTGTAAAAACAGAAATTTTATTAAAATGTATTTATATAAATAATACTCTATATGATTTCCGATGTGATATATTGATTTCTCATTTTCATTAAAAGTTAAAACTCATTAAAACTAAATATTTTAAAACTAAGTATTAATTAAATTTTAAATTAACCCTGCTGGAATATCGCATTCAATGTTAAATAAAATATATACTTGTTAATTTTACAACATTTTAACTAGCGTAAGTTAATATACAGGGTCGCTGATATGTATGGAAATCGAGGTACCGCAAAAAGTTAAACATAAAAGTGATAGGGGTTTTAAATGTCTATTGGCGAGTAATAAATTTAAGTTCACAGGTAAATTCATAAAGGCCTGGCACATCAAACTTTCACTTTTTTAAATGGAACCCCCTTTATATTATTGCCGTATTTCAATTCTGCCTTTAATTCTAAGCAAAAATTGAAATACACACAGTGTACCTCAAACCAACCGTTTTCGAGTTATTGACTTTTGAAAATATCACTTAAACAATTCGATTTAATTAATTTCGATATGTCTGGTCTCATTTAACGATGCCATTCTGCGGAAACTGTGATACTTAATAATATTTGACATTAGTTTTCAAGTTAGCATTTATAGAAGTATAAAATGAGATAATATCAAGTCTGGAAATTACAAAATTTTCGTTTAACATGTCAAAACCAAAACTCGATATCTCGGAAAAGGTTGGATTTAAGGGCATTATGTGTATTACAATTTTTGCTTAAAATTAAAAGGAATACTTAAAACTGAAATACCAAATAATATACAGGGGATTCCATTCAAAAAAAATTCTTCGAGGTGCCACGACTTTATGACCGACCCTGTATACTTAAATTTATTACATGATGTTAGGCATTTAAAAACCCTATAACTTTTGTATTTAACTTTTTGGGGGAACCTTGTATACTTTGCCCAATAATCCACCGTTTACATGCATATCAGGGAGCCTGTAGAATTTACTTAGTGTATTTAATTTTTTTTGTCATCCGATTTTACATTTTTTTCATAATTTGTAATGTTACGATACGCAAATATTTCCTTCTTTAAATAGTTTCCCACTATTTGTAAAATATTAGTAGTACTTAACGGTTTAAGCGTCAATATTAAATGCTATCGAGCTATGTAAATGCCACAAATCACTGTCATGCGGTATTTGGCTCTTGATATTGAAGTATGTTACAAACAAAAAGATATCGGAAACACAAACATACAACTCTGCAGCGGATTATTTGAACTGGAATCGTCGAAACAACAGTCGTATCGGTTTGATGTCTGTCAAATTAATGGCTACTAATATTGCTACTGGCTACGTGCATATTTGTGGTTTGTACGAGTTATAGTTCCGATACTCTAAGCCTGTGTGCGTTAATCTTCTGACGAATTCTATTAACGTCTATTGAATTTGAAAGGATTTTTTTTAATGAATTGATAATGAAACTTAATAATAAAATTAAACTACCCAAAAAGTTATTGATAGTAAAACAAATTTAAAAATAAATATAAAATAAAAAATTCACAAATAATACATATTTTAATTCATTAAAATCATTCTTTTATAGGAGATTTTATAGGAGAATTATTTCTTCAGAGAAAATATTTTTACAGCAATTTATCATCATTAAATTTTTGTTGAAATTGCACTATCCTTCATTCATAAGATTACTTAATGCGGTGAATAATGACTCAATTCTTTGGCCCTAAAGTTATCAAAATTAAACCGGTTTTCAACAAAAGATTTAATATCCAACTAAAAACGAATCACCAGACATAATCTCAGTATTAACGTCGACCATTTTATTGGAAAAATGAGTTGAAAATTTATTCTCAGATTTGTCTATTTTTACTGCAATTATTCTTGTTCGAATTTTATAAAGTTTGGGGAGTTATAAAAGTTCTCTAGTGCAAATTTTTATAAGAATTAATTATGAATTTTGTGGATTTAGGATTATTACTGGTCCAGGGTCCCGGTTAGTCCTTTACAAATACAGGGTGGCGCCTCTCATACGCCGCGGAGGCTCCGAGGAGAACGACAGTTTTTATTGAAATTAAATTTTGTGAGCATATATAGATTAAATCTTGATTTTCATACATCCGTTATCCGACCATACGATGATACGACATTAATTTGATTGGTTGAATTTAAAGACTTCGATTGGTTAGAAACGGTTAACCAATCGAAGTTTTTAAATTCAACCAATAAAATTAATATCGTATCATCGTATCATCGGACAACGGATGCATGAAAATCAAGCTTAATTCAGAGCACTTTTTAAAAATATAGAGAGTTCTACAGGGTGTCCACCAAAAAGTCACATATCAAAGTTGTGTTTTTGTAATGGAATACCCTATATATTAATTGATTTTCGGATTCTGGGAGAAAAATAAAGGTGAGTTTTATAACAGAAGTATATCTTGGTTTTTTATGGGGATATATTAAAGACAGTGT